CTGACATTATAACTGACAAAACCTCAGAGGGATGAGTTCACACAACAAGCTGCCTGGCTTAGTGTGATGCCTGGTGACACCCAAAGGCGGTTACTCTCAAATGGTTTAAATCTGATTTAAATCATTGCTCTGGTTTTTTTTCCCTACAAAACTATGGGATAGCCCTGTTGCTCTTTGTTGCTTCCACACTTCTGTAAAGTGTCCATCTCGGTTTCTTCCCCCCCAAAAATGTTTCAGACAATCCTTGAGAGGACTGGCAGCGTAACATGGCAGACTAGAACCTAGAACTGTGGTGGTGACCCTATGGCACGGGTGCCAGAGGCGGCACTCAGAGCCCTCTCTGTGGGCACGCGTGCCGTCGCCCCAGTCCTAGGCCTTCAGCTGGGTTTTATAAAAGCTTTTCGCTTTAGGCCTCCGCTGTTGTGTGCAAAAACAAAAAAGATTCAATCAGTCAATTTCAACTTCTCGCGGGGAAAAAAAAAGATCTTGCAAAGTTGGAATTGATTGATTGAACTTTTTAGTCCCACCTAGATGACTAATATTCGACTTATTTAGTGACCTTTCCTGACTCTTTACTTGTCCACAACGTTACAATGTGAGTTTGCTGTTATTTCAGCTTACTAAGTGAAATCTCGCTTTTAGTGACCTCCAAAAACCCAATGGAAAACAGGAAAAAGTAGCAAGAACTCCAAAAGTTGTTTTTTTTCTGGAGTCAAGAAGCAACGGATGGAAACTGACCAAGGAGAGAAGCAACCTAGAACTAAGGAGAAACTTCCTGACAGTGAGAACAATTAACCAGTGGAACCACCTGCCTCCAGAAGCAGTAAATGCTCCAACACTGGAAGTTTTTAAGAAGAGACTGACAGCCATTTGTCCGAAATGGTATAGGGTTTCCTGCCTGAGCAGGGGGTTGGACTAGATGACCTCCAAGGTCCCTTCCAACTTTATTATTATTATTATTATTATTATTATTATTATTATTATTATTATTATTTATTTATTTATTTATTTATTTATTTATTTATTTATTTATTTATTTATTATTACTATTATTATTATTATAGAAGCAACCTAGAACTAAGGAGAAACTTCCTGACAGTTAGAACAATTAACCAGTGGAACAACCTGCCTCCAGAAGTGGTGAATGCTCCAACACTGGAAGTTTTTAAGAAGAGACTGGACAGCCATTGCTCTGAAACGGTATAGGGTTTCCTGTCTGACCAGGGGATTGGACTAGATGACCTCCAAGGTCCCTTCCAACTTTTTTTATTGTATTATTATTATTATCATCATCATCATCATCATCATCATCATCATCATGTAGGGACTTCCTTAGAGGTGTTGTGGAAACTCTCTGGGGTGGAAGTAAAAATGGGACGCAGCTCCCAATTTTACCTGCTTGGAGAAACATCCTTAAATTACCACTATTTGTGGATTAAGAAAGGCAGTAACACCAAAACTGAAACCCTTGACCCACCACAATCTCATCCCCATGTCTCTGTGAAGTTCTCCCAACCAGAAACACAACCAAGAACTCTGAAACCTCTTCCTCATCTCAGCTTGAAGTACAATGGAAGTCACCCATCCATCTATCCTTCCACCATCCCTTCCTGTCCCTTCATCCATCCTTCCACCCATCCCTTCCTGTCCCTTCATCCTTCCACCCATCCATCCATCCTTCCACCATCCCTTCCTGTCCCATCTATCCACCAATCCCTTCCTGTCCCTTCACCCATCCACCCACCCACCCACCCATCCATCGGACCTGGATATCTCCGAGACCGCCTTCTGCCGCAGGTTACCTCCCATCGGCCGGTACGCTCCCACAGAGTGGGTCTCCTCAGGGTGCTGTCAGCCAGACAGTGCCGGCTGGCGACCCCCAGGGGGAGGGCCTTCTCGGTGGGAGCCCCCACCCTCTGGAACGAA